AATCCAGCAAGTCTCGAAACAAGATCCACCTTGTTAGAAGTGCAACTGCACCAGGCTCGAACAAGACACCCGAAGCCTAGGAGTGGCAGGTGGGCGGCCCCGCGAGGGAAACCGGAGTCACACCCAGCACTGAGCATACTGAGCAGCTGGAACCTAAGCCCAACCTGGACCAAGGATCTACAGCCCGGTTCCCGAGTGCGGCAAGGGACTGCTCTGAGGACACCATGGAGGAAGTGCGCCTGCTGGCGCAACTGCCTGCCGCCTGTCGGCCGCGACATAGGAGACGCCGACATCATCCTCAGAGTCAGGACGAGCTGGTCCTCCTGGCGATGTGCAATGCCCAGCACCGCTCTGACCAAGCGCACGGCCCCGCTAGGTAGACCTGTGCCGGGTTCGGCTGAGTTCCGCAGACGTTAGCGGCTCTATCTTTGTTGACTTGCCTGTACCACGCCGAGATCGTGCCAAGATTCAGGAGTGCGTGCACCCCTGGCATCTGCAACAGGCACCACACGGATTACTTCTCCCACCGCCTTACCTGCTTGTGTGCCTAGCCCGGTATGTCGATCTCGCACAAACGGTATGTTTCCCCCGTTATGTCACGGCGGCACATGATGTCAGGTGGATGCCATACCGACTGATTGGGGGTGTCATCCGTTTGGGGCTTACAACCCAGAGTGGCCACTATCGCGCCTTTCTGGCTCATGGCTTCGGCCGCTGCCGCGATCGCGACGGTGGTGCACGGATGATGGGATCAGAGCCACAGTCTACCCACAATCTTTCCAGAAAACCATCAATGAGAAGTGCTACATTCGTTGCTTTCAAGCTGTGCCTGAACAGACTGGTGTATCCAGTGACATCCGACCCAGGTCGACCGGCAGCTTCACTTTCTGGGTCCTCCCGGGGACGGGGTGAAAAGTCTTTCTGTTGCGATGCGAAAATGGTGGTATGTCGTACATAGCCGCGCAAGGGACAAGCACTTCTTTTGTGAACTCAAAGTAAAAAAGCTCTCTCTCTCTCTCTCTCTCTCTCTCTCGCGCCGGATGATGCCAGCATCTTGAAGTTGACGTGTTCCCCTGCACAGGCTACTGCAGCTTTTATCTGCTCCTCGTCTGCTCATCTTTGGCATGGGATTATGTTTCTTTGTTCAAACACACCAGTTGTGTCAGAACAGTCCGTCCGGCGTGACCGCATCAGGAAGCCGACGACACCAACGACGACCTGGGCTTAGTGGGGAAAACACTGCTTGGTGCTTTCGGTGCCAGGGAGGAGGGCAGAGCACTATGGCTCTGAAAGACAACATCCTAGTTGACAAGTGAAACTGTGCTGAAGAACAGGTCGTACCTGTGCTTGCCATCAGGTGCTATGGAAGATACGTCTTGTCATATCATGCCAGGGGCCGTGGTTGTCTAGTTCTGGTGAAAGTAGATCATGTAAGAATTCCTTCTTCGCTACACCTGGCCGATTCGTGATTCCTTGACGTGATGTCGTGTGACAATGTGTTTAGCTGCGTGCTGCTCAACTGTAGTAGATGCTGCCTGAAAAGTAGCATAAACCTTATGCTGCGCAGTGCCACGCTGTGCTGTGCGATGCTTTGCTGTGACGTCTTTGTGGTGGTCTGTTAAGTCGGTTTGCTGTCGCTGTATGCGACTGTCTGTGCGGAGGGGCACGTGACCCCGACCAGAGAGCGAGGGAGAGACTTGCTACATGTTACCGTACTCAGTACGTCTATGCAAGAAATGCCAGACGAAAGCGTCGTCAGCAACAGATTAAATGCGTACATACACTAGGATATTTAGAAGTAAGTACATGCAATCTTCGTACGTTTGTTTACATATGCAAAATATGTGATTGAGCCTTCTGTGTATGCACACACATTGATATTGCATGTGCACATAAATTCATGCGTGCACTCCTGCGTACTCAGTTACGAGTCACGAGTCGATGTTTGCCAAGAACAGTGGTTGGGTGCTTCTTGCTTGTGCAGATCCGGTGCAAGCTGGACCCACGTAACCAGCTGAGAGACAGACGGCGTAAAGCTGCTTCGCATGTGCCTTGAATCCAGGACAAGCACAACGACTCCTTGTCCCGTGTCAAGGACTGCCAAGATGCACGGTTCGAGCACGAGGGACTGATCTTGGGACGTCTTATGATTTGACCTGGCTGGCAAATGTACATAGCTCTGGTTCTGTTTCTCTGCTATACACTTTGCAAATCTTCACTAAGTTACGAAGACTGTTCGACAACACCTTGAGGTGCTGCAGCACATAGGTCTGAGAAAAGCCATCTCTTCTGAGACTGCCTGTCGGCACAGGCTTCGAATCGTCAACCGGTGTATGGAGAAGCCGATCTGGATCGCACATGAGGCAGGTGCCGCAAAAAGGGTCCAGTGCACATCGACCTTCTGCTCTAGCCTTTCTCCTTGCGACGGTGGGTTTGAGGCTGTCGACTTTGTTTGTCCCTCTAGCAAAGGCCGCCGGAGGCAAAATTGGCCCCAGCCGGCAGACGCCTGGCTGCCGGATGGTTTGAAGTTCCGGATGTTTGTTTCTTCGTCGTCTTGCTTCAAGGCCCTCTGCTGGCTTCTGGTTTTCCGAGTAGCTTCGGAGATTTGTTCAGGGTCTTCAACTCGCCTGGCTGGGGATCTGTAGGACGTTGGCAGTCAGCAGGCTTTTGAGCTTGTGTGAAAAGCAGGTCTGCAAAAGGGCACGAGTGCTGAAACTAGCTGCGCAGTCCAAGGAATGTGAAGATCGAGCCAGATGACTTTCATGACTTTTGCACCCCCGACAAGCTGGTAGGCAAGTCTCGGGTGTATTGTGAAGCCAACATTTGAGTGATGTGGAACGCATTTCAGCGTTTGATGTTCCGACTGGATTTCCATTTGCGAGGCACTCGTTACTGGCCAAAGATGCTGTGTGACGAAGATGGTGTGAATTGCTTGCCACTTGGATCCAACGTAACATCCTGCAAGCCCAACATGTCAGAGCTTCTGCTTTTCGCTTTCGGCACGGTGGAGGCCAGGCTCGGCATACGATATTTGGGATCTCGGATTCCCGAAACCCGCATCCAACTCCACAAAGACCAGAGACCAGACCTAGCCCAGAAAGCAAGCGTTTGGATCCAGAATCCCCAAAGCTAATCGGCTGGCTTGAGTCCGGGCGATACGACAGCCTGGAAAACTTTGGCTGTGCAGTTTCGCGTTCTGTACCCAGGTTGGGAAGCAGCGGAGGGCCAGGAGAAGGTTGCAGCGCCCCGGCAGAATCTGGTAGCGCTCTTGGGGCCTGCAGGGACCTGTCAGACGCGAGGCGGCGCCGGTCAATACCTCTCCTGCGCGCCGCCCATTGACACGAAGTTCGAGGCGACCTTCGGCCGAAGAGGCTGGGCTCGGGGCGTTTCCGGCTGGTCGTCTTTGCTGGCTTCGGCTTTTGTAAACCTGATAAGTTGCCAGGAGCACCCTGCAATGGCCAGAGCTCGCAAGATTGCGACTTCGTTGACGTCAGCTTGGCAGCTTGGTCGAGCTGCGTCCAGTTCCCACGATTGCCCGCGCGATTCCGGTTTAGGGTTTAGGGTTCAGGGTTTAGGGTTTAGAGTTAAGCCCTAAACCCTAAACCCTAAAGCGCCTGCTAGAAGAAGGCTGGAGCAGATCAGGCTTTTGCTTGCTCTGGGAAATGCAAGCTATCGTCCTACCAACGAATTCTACCTACGTGATCTTTCTGAAGCAGGTCATGGCGTATGCCATGCAACGATGTGCCCGCATCCCCAGCGTGCCAAAAGCAGCACTGTTGTAAGCCAGAACCTATCGCTCTGTATATATATATATATTCAACATAGATATATACATATGTATATGTATATGTATGTGTGTGTGTATATATATATATGCTTATACATAAAAACGTGTACGCGGCGGTCCTCGGCTTTCAGGTAGACGGCTGGACATTGCCCTTTCGGCTTCTCATCGCTGGAAGCTGTTCCGGAGGCAGACAGTCCAAACACTGCAATAGGAAGCTGCGCGGGAGAAAACCGATACATTCCCAGACGTGCCACCAACACTGAACCAAGTCGTGGTGTCATGACCCAAGAATCCGTGACTTCTTTTGTCGAGCATCTCTTGAAATTCAATCCTGCGAGGCTTGAGCAGGTAAGAGTCATTGGGAGAAGCTAAAGTTTCTCTGGATCCTGTTGTGGCCTTCGCCATAGGTGGCAACATGCATCCCGACGAGATAGACTGCTCAGGCCGCTTGTTTGGTGAAAGTTGCAGGCAGAAAGATAGAAGTATGAAGTATCGTCTCGTGTTGTCGCTCTTTTTCGGGTCATCATGTTATCAGCTTTTGCCTTCTGACATGCATTTCTCATGAGAGACAGGCAATCAGCTAGATGCAGATTCATTGACGGAAAGGGTAGAGAGGTTGGTTCTTGACGGAAGGAGGATTTGCGGACTTACCGCCTCAGATGGCGTTAGCCGCTCCTACAACGGTACGCTGAACACAAGAGCTGAGTGCAAAGCCTGCGAGCGAGTGGAGCCTGACTTGCCAGCCCTTCGTTGCAGGACTGACATTCGAGCAGTGCCCCACAGCAGAGAGGCTGGGAACGAAGACATATGCCCCTCAGCTCTGCTTTTATCAAGAATGGTCTCCTAGTGCAGAACTCGAGCCTTGCCTCGGCATCGCCTCTGAGAAAACTCGTGTCGCAAGGATATGCAGGCACGGCATTGGGGAAGTGGCAGCATCGCTGGTTGCTACAGCCCCTGCCTCAAGCTGACGGATCCCAAGTGGAACAACACGGCATCCAGAGGCCTGCCTGCCATTAGATGACCGTGTTGTTGGAGATGAGGGTCGCGGCGCGCTGCAACCAACGTCCCACTGAAAGTCCAGAAGCTCGGGTTTACGATATGTACTTGACCTTAACCGAACATCGACAAACAGACAACTCAATCGTCAGCTTGCGAGCAAGCTGAAAGTAGATATCAGTACAGAACTGTGCATATATATATAGATCTGGATCTAGATCTAGTTCTACTCGATATCCATACCTTTATACCTACATCTGTATGTATGTATGTATGTATGTATGTATGTATGTATGTATGTGTGTATATATATATGTATATATATGTATATACATATATATATATATATATGGAGCGAGAGAGATAGAGGAAGGGGTGTCGACACAAACAAAGAAACATTATATCAATAACATGTACACATCTACATCTATACATCTGTACATACATACATACATACATACATCCATCAATGCATGCATGCATAGTTACATACATACAGACACATATATGTAGATGCTCACACATATGTATGTTTCCATTTAGAAAAAAAGGGATGTCTTTCTCGTAGTTTGCATTTTCTTTCTCGCGCGATCTCCCTCGATCTTGGTGCATGTCTCTGTCTGTCTCCCTCTCTGCCTCTGTGTGTGTGTGTGTGCAATCTGTGTGCGTGTGAGCACATGCATGAGCGTGCAAGCCGGCTCCGTTTGCTTGAGCATATCCACAAACACATGCACGCGGGTGTGCGCATTCGTGAGCATGCTGCAAGCAGTTGTTTTTGTGCACGTCTATGTCTTTTTTATTCTTTTTGTGGGCGTGTGTGCGCATGAGCGCATGAGTGGTGTTTCAGGCCTTTTCATGTAGGCATGTGGCAAGCCACACCACTGATTTTCTGCGCCTTCCATGTGTGCATCTTCAGCGTTGGCGCGGGTGTGTCTCTTACGTTCAGGCAGTAGGATTCCCGTAGGATTGGGAGCTCGCTTCCTGCGCGAGGCCTTCTCTACCAGTCTTCATCATCGTCTTGTCCCAAATCCACGAAAACCTGCCTTGCAGAACATTCTGTCCGCCAGAAGCTGCTGCCCTTGACAGGACGCTCAAGGACCGACGATGTGGCGGCACCCTACTGCTGCCCCACGCCGCCGATCTCTCCCCAGGCCCCCAGATTGCTAATGGAGCAGAGTCCGCCTCGTGTGGTCTGGGTATGGTTGGCCCAATCTAGCTCTCCCCGAAGCCGTAGGACCCCGAAAGCCTCGCAGCCAGCTCGATTCCAAGGCTTGTCGCGCGGGCCCAGTGGAAGGGAGCCTCGGCCACATCGGCGGCGACAATTATTATTACTATTTTTATGACTGAAGACGTATACCATCAGTGGTGCGATGATGGTGACGATGACATGATGATTGCTGCTGGACTAGTGCAAGTACAGTTCTGCAAGCACAGACACGTTGTTGATTGCTTTCGACTCCTCCTTAAGCCGTGTGACATCGCATTGAGCATCACAAGTTGGAGCAGCTGATGCCGCTGCTGCCGCAGTTGCAACGTGTGTGCTGAACACGACTGGTTCTTCTGCTTCGTGTTTCCGACCATGAAGGCGGTGGTGGTAGTGATACTTGTAGAAGTTGCTCCTGGCCTTCAAAACGTGTTTGCGTTGGGTGTGGTCGTTTGGTTGGTAGTGTTCGTTCCTATAGGCAGCGAAATTCGTGTATCTGATGGTCGAAACAACAGCCGGGAGCCTTGAGCTCCATCTGCTGAGGACAGAGTATGTCAAGGCGGTTCACAAATACTGCTGCTGGCCTTGTTGGATCATCAGGTTTTCAGCAAGAAGCAGTGCGATATCCCGATTTTGTCTTCTGTTTATGCGCTCTCGCAGAAGTTCACGTCCAGGTCCTGGCGTCTACGCCTACTGTTATGATGATGCAATGGGTCTGCTACAATGCTCTGCAGATTCCAGCTATCAGGTAGAATTCTTCTGCTTCTCGGTTGCAGTTATTGCCTTTGCTGTGGCAGCACATCCTCCATGTCTGGCCCCCGCTGGTCGACTCAGGCCCCTGGCCGATGCCGTCCTGGAACTATGTCTGGGTAACCAGCACTCGCACAAGTTCCTCGCATACACAAACATCAGCTACCTCCACCCGCACAACAACCTCATTCACTACCAGGACTGCTTCGTCCACTACTCTCCGCAGCACCCTCACCTCGACCCGTACGTCGGTTACAGCGACTACTGCAACTGCAACCCGACAAGAGCCAGAAGTTTTCTTAGGCTGGATGCATAGTCCGCTGAAGTCACGGTCACGAGCCATAACGAATCCAGCTGCAAGGGTCCCAGCGCAGATGCTTAGGTGACGAAGACCACGAGGACATCCACTAGCGAGCAGGCAAGTGACCGCATGGTTAGCTTGGTAGCTTCGTCTCGCGTAGCATCCTTATGAGCTGCTGAGCTGTCCGAGCGATACTTCAAGGGTCCCATTGCTTGCCTTTGCCTTAGTCTTCCGCGGACAAGGCTGCAGCAATGGGCGCCAAAAGGACAGCGAGGGCAAAGCTAGAGACATTGTTGGCTTTGTCCGTTGTGTGTAGCCTACGGAGTGAGCATCCGTTGAGTCAGAGTCTGCCGTTTCAGGGTTGTGGATTTTCGCGTGTCTTGCCTCTTTATTTCCCTTTTTGAAGTTTAGTGGAGGGATTGCTATTGCTGCATCGTGAGGACGAGGTGAGTTGCTTTGTTTGATTCTTGTTGGGCATCTCCTTAAGACTAGCAGCTTGGTATTTCAGAGCAGAGCAGAAGCCATCAGCCGTCTGAGTCTGTATGAGGGCCTCGGACCCTCAGACTGTGACAACACGGCCCAAAAAGATGTACAACTCTGTTGCCTTCTTTCAGGAGGCATGAGAAGCTTACTGGAAGCGCTTCGGCCACCACATCTTCAAGTCCCAGGCCAAGTGCCCTGGCAAAGCAAGGTGGTCTGACTCGGCCCCAAGCTCGCCTCTTGGACTACTCGTAGCTGAGAGCAGTAGCCTTCCCTCGGCTTTAGCCTCGTTCAGGAGCCACAGACCCCAAGTCCTGAGAGAGCACCGTTCAATCCGAAAGCACGAGCAACGGAAGACTGAATTTATTGGAAAGACCGGCATGCGTCGGCAGATTCCGAACTTGAGGGCTTTCTGGTCTCGGGCTTTGGGTTCAGGGCATCTTTGCTTTGACTGACTATCCCTCCCTGCTTTTGACGTCATCTGCCATGCCGAAAACCCCGGCTGTGTAATTTAACCCGCTGCCGCTCTCTTCGTCTGCCTCCGATTTCAATCGGTTCTGTGTCAACATCCCAGCACGACTCTAACTCTGACTCGAAAGATGAGGAGGGGAGGGTTAGATCAGTAGTCCGCCGCCGTCCGCCATCGCATTTTGCTTTTGCCGTCACCTGCGCTCGTGCTGTCGGGTGTGCAGAGGGCCTGGCGTCGGTCGTGTGGTAGGCTTGGGGTGTCTTCACCGTCGTGCTTTGGTATTCATGGCTGAGTTTTCAAGTTGTTGCCCAGGTGCCGCTAGGCTTGACGCGCGCTCCAAGCGTGCGAAGTCCGAGGGCTCAGAGGCGCTGGCTTGGGTTTGGTTTGCGGAATTTGAGACGCAGGAGGGCCGCGGCATTCTGTTGTGCAATCACTCCTTCTTGTGCCTGATGCCTGTTTTCAGGTCTTCACCAATTGAATCCAAATGACATAGGTGTCTGCATAAAGGTCGCCAGACTCTCTTTTCAAGCCCCATCGTGCCAAAAGCCTGTCTTTAAACCTGTGTAAGACCTCAGTAAGCTCGATGCAGGGGCCGAACCCTGTAGTGAGAGTTGGTGACGGGAAGGTAAGATGGTTGCGTTGAAGTAGAGCAACAGAAGCAACAGCGATTTTCGGGAGCTTTCAAGCACCGATTCAGGCCTTTTATGTCATTGCCGGATGCTCGTTGGGAGCCGTCGCCGGACAGCAACCAAGGTCTTCAATCAGCTGGGTTGTCTGCTCTCCGGTAGCTGGACCACGTGTCCTCGAGCCCTCTGTGGCAAACTCCTTTCGTCTAGTTTGGGCATCATGACATGCCGTGATGTTTGTTGTTGGAGGGAAACCGTGTGCTTCCATTCTCGCCTTTGAGCGGTGACGCAAAGCCCTGCCCAGGTTGCCGTGGCAGCTCTGGGCCTCTGTGTGTGGCATGGTGCCTGCCCTGTGAGGCAGCTTGCGACAGAACAAGAGCATTTCCTGGTTTCTCTCTCTCTCGCTCCCTCTGTCTCTGTCTCTCTCTCTCTCTCTCGCTCTCTCTCTCTCTCTCTCTCTCTCTCTCTCTCTCTCCGTGTCTCTGTCTCTCGGTCTCTCTGTCTCTCTGTCTCTCGGTCTCTCCCTCTCTCTCTGTCTCTGTGTCTCTGTTTCTGTCTCTCCCCTCCCCTCTGTCGCTGGTGGCTTCACAAATGTGTGCATTCACATGCGAGCCATCTGCTTGTCGACAAGGATTGTGTTGATTGCTGTTGAATGCATCTGACAGATTGCGCCTCGAGTCTTGCGTGAGCAGGCATGACATCGATCCACCATTGCTGCCAGCGGAGTAGGCGCGGTTCACTTTGTGTACTTTATGGGTTTTCGACTTCCCGAGCTGCAGTGATCTCCACTCCTGGCTGACAAGGGGATGGGCCGCTGGCAGAGAGTTGAACTGAGGTGGGCCCGCTTCAGCTTCCCGAACCAGATTGGATGAATCGGTGAGCGAAGCCATCCACCGGGCGGACCTGGCCAAAGTTGGCGTCATAAGATGCCTTTGTGTTCTGGACACATCATCATCGAATATTCTTTTTGCCTTCATTCGTTGAAGGTCAACTAGTGCACCGTTTGTGCTCAATGCGTTGGAATTGTCGCAAAGATGACGGTGACTGCGACTGGACTGCGAGCGGAGAGCGGATATAGAAGCACGTGTGTGTGTGTGTGTGCCAAGCTTGGCCTGCTCTACGGCCTTGACTGGGTTTCGGGTTTATTGAGCTTCGGGTTCTGGCAAGAAGCTGCAGCACAGACTGCACTACACAGCTGTTCGTAGTGAGAATCGTGCAGATGGACCGTACCCATGTCCCATCCTACGCCTATCATCGAGGCCGTCGGTATTGCGTGCACAACATCACCACCAATCGTGTAAGATGGCTAGGCGTTGTCGACACATCTTTCGGCAGAAGCGGTCTCAGTACGGCATTAATTCCTGGGCATTCGGAACCAGCCGCCATCCCTAAATCATGCTAAATCCATCCCGAAAGTTCCCGAGAGCGACCTGTAATCCGCGCAGATTTCTTTGGAGCCTGGCATGCTGATAGCGGTGCGCAGCGACCAGTGGTCCTTGAGGTGCCGCATTCCGAAGACTGAAACTGCAAATTCTTGCAGGTGCTTCGGGGAACTGCTGCCTTGCGTGAGTGGACGTTCGGGGACTCACCGGTAGGCCGCCTCAGCAATTCTGGAAGCTGAATTCGGCTTTGACTCAGACCCAAGCAAGTTGGTTAGCCCACGAGCTTCCGTCCCCAACATACCGCTGCAGGCTGCGAACGCGTGGGCGCAAGCGTGCGTTCTCCTTGACTTGCTTTGTGCAGGACTCCCTGAAAACTCATGAGAGATCCACTTTCGAGAAAACTTCATTCATAGAGCAGTTGCCCTGTGAGTAATGTCCTCGGGCAGAAGGTAGGCACTGTCAAGGTTCATCTGAAGAGGCCTAATTAGACTAGAGTCATTAGAGACAGTTTGCCATGCGAACTCTCTTCTACGTAGTGCACGAGTGCAAGCCCGCTGTCTTCTATTTTTTTGCATGACTTGCAAGACGAGGTTACGTGGTCTGTTGCATGTTTAAGATTCGTGAAGAATGACCTGCAGCTTTGCCAAGCGCATACCGATCATGAGACTGCATGTCTGTAGACAGATAGCACGTGTCAGAGAGAATACATGGCCAGATTTGACGTCGCACGCTGGACAAGAAGTGGATTACGGAGCAACTGGCAAGTAACAGTGCCGAGCAGTCACAGCCATCCGTGGCGGTTCCCTATCGCGCGGCAGGCCATGCCGCAGGCACCTCACATGCCAACCATGTGTGTCCTTATGTTTCGACCTGCGTTGGGGAATTTCAGCCCAAGCTGCGTTATTGGTTGGCCGGGACTGGTGTTGAAGGCTGCGCGAATTCCGTCTCTGCTTGCGCACCGCGCAGACTTTGAGATGCTGAATTCGCTCCTGGAAGTAAATGAAAGAAATTGCGTGCACGCACGTCAGTGGACGATCGACACAGGGAGCGCGTGCTCCGGAGCCAAGCCTGGACCATCGCTGCCCTGCTTGGTTCTGCCGGTGAATGGTCGGGGGTGTTTTGTGGGCGAAAGGAGCCTTTGGCAGGCTCGTGGGATCTCACGCCAGGTGAGACTATATCCCCCTGTGATGCATTGCTGTAAATTGTAGATGCCGCTTGCCCGTCCAGTGCAGCTATGCGTCAGGTCGTCCACCGCTCGGAGGAGGAGGAGACCCGTTGCACTGCTACACGTGAGTGCAGGGTCCTTCGTGCAAGTGCCGCAGCTTCGCCAAAACTTTGGAGAGCCAACTTACGCAATCTCATTGAATCTTGTACCCAAGCCGTTTGAGGTACCAGGAGCCATTCTTGAGAAGTGAGGCGTGATTGTAGTGGAGGAGGAGGGAGGGTAGTCAAAGTCGTGGCCTCGTTCGCAGTGGTAGTCGCAGCAGTAGAAGCAGCAAGTGGTGGTGGCAGCAGAAAAATGACGACGAGGACTGGCCTCAGAAGTAGAAGTAGAAGAAGTAGTAGCAGTAGTAGCAGTAGTAGCAGTAGGTGGTGGTAGCAGTAGTAGGAGCGGAAGGGGTGGCGGTAGCCTGGAAGGACATTCCACCTCTTTCGCTTGCGGGCGTGTGGCGCTCGGTGGCCGTGCAGCTGGAGGCGGGCATCTGTGATTGCGGTATCAAGCGCAAGAGTCCAGTATAGGATGGAAGCCTAAACTGTTGTCTGCATTTGTTGTATTTAGCAATTTGCACTAGTCAGAGAATGAAGATCTGAGGTGCTCCGTCGTTGTAAAATTGTCATAGAATCAAAGGCTCACAGCAATCGCCGTAGCAGCAGTAACAAGTAAGTAGACCAATAACATCTATATGTAGTGCAGCGCAGGTCTACAAGGAGCGTCCCGCACCCAGCTGCGCTTTCTCTCTGGCACTGCTGACCTGGGCTGCAGCGCTCTACAGGACTGCCTGGGGTTCAGGGGTCACGAGGGTAGCCGCACATGGCGTAAGGAACTGGAATCGGGGTGGGTTAGGGGTCATGTAGTGTTCAAGACTTGCGTTTCGGCTTTACTTGGTGCTCTCCGTGGATTTCTTCTGCAGCTGCGAGTGTTTTGACTTTTTTGCATGCAGCAATTCTTCTGCTGCTCACGGCTTAGCCGCGACGTTCTTTGGCCTTGCAGGGTGTTGTTCGTGCGACAGTATCGCACTCGAGCGTCATGCGCTTGCATAGACTGGGGGCGGTAGTGACATACCCTGCGTTTGCTGCTTCGTAGAACATCATCATGCCATCCCGATAGGTATCGGTGAGCAACTCTGGATGCAAGTATGACTGTGCCTAGAAATAACCTAGAAACAATTTCTGGGACACTTATATCGTATCGAAGTGGCGACCTGACCCCGGCATCAGGATCCTGCGGACAGATTTTCCTCCGCCGGGCCCGGCAGGTAACAAGGGCCGTCTGGCCGGTGTTCCCCTTTTAGGGTTTACGGTTTAGGGCCTAGGGTTTAGGCTTTGGGCAACCGGGCATGAATTGAGTTGCCTGCCACGACATTTAGATCCTGTTTAGAGCCCATTGCTCCAGCCTTGAATCGATATCCTCCACTGGTCCTCCACAGCTGATAGATCCTCAGATCTTCACTACTTTCAATGCCCATCTCTACAAATCGAGTTTGGCTTCCGAGCTTCGCGCTTTGCTCTTGTCCGGCCATCTCCTAGCCTGCAGCCCCACAGCCCTGAAACGCAAGCACCAGCGCAGAGCCTCCTTGAACTCGTAAAGCGAGAGACGGCAGGGCTTTGCATGGACCCCGCCGCCGTGCGCTTCGCCCAGGGCTTCGAGGCTTGGGCGTCGAGTCCTAGGACTTGCAGGAGTCGAGCCTCCAGAATGGCTTTGGGACGTTCAGTGCGTACGGCGGTAGTGGTTGATTGTGGTGTTTTCGATTCCAAGGGTGCGCAGGCATTCATCCACTCTGAAGTGGCTGAAAAGATAATGCCGAGAGTCGAGCTCTTCGCTTGAATGTGCTTGAGGTTTACGACGGCTCAGATTGGGATGAACTAGTCGGCAAGCCTTGATGAGACACTACTGTCTTCTAGTCGGAAAGAGCCTTACACAAAAAGCAGAACGGCAAAGCACTACGTATGCGAGGCGAAGCGTTGGCTGCTACATGCCTTGTGGCCACTGGAGCCAGGCCTGTGCAGCATTTTCGAACATTGTGGTTTGGGAGGGGTTGGAAAGGCTCACCACAAACCGCACATCGATTGCCGCGGAGCTCACAAAAACGAAAATGCACAGACAAGGCTTAGCATGCCGGTATCAGCGTCTTACAGTTTCAGAAAGTAGCCTTGCACAGCCCGAAAAGCCAACTGCCACTCGGAAGGCTACCTGCGCGGTTTCCTGAGCTCTTCGCTTCTATTGGCGGCCTGTCGACGTTTAGATTCAAGCTTCCTGAACTCAGGACGCAAAAGCTGTATCGGGCAAATCTTGACAATGAAGGACGGTCTCTTCATTAAGGCAGTTCTAGGCAATACCGATACCAGTGGTTTGCTCCAAATCGGCAAATACGTACAGAAGGGAGTACAAACATGACTAATGCTATGTACAGTTGTAGCAAACCACTTCGAAGTAGACAGATAAAATGCAAGGTTCAATTGCTCTGAACCCAGCACAAATTTTGAATAACCAAGTGATCTAGGCAAGCAGTTGGAAGACGTCTTCAAATTAGGACCCTTGACACTTCAGTGGTTACGGAGGCCAGGGACCTGAGTTTTTCAATTGGGTGGCTGTGGCTTTGTGCTTTGCCGGCGTCGTCGCTCTGCGTTGCTTTCGGAGGGGCCGTTAGAGACTCTACGTTCTGCCTGCAGCTTCAAAGCTGTCCCGAGGTGTTGGGCTACTCCCTGGAGTACGAGCTGGGCAGCGCGCACTTCTGTGGCCTGCTACTGGGACTCCAGCCACTCGGCGAACCTCGAGGTTTTTCGATTTGATGCGCCGTGGTTGGCCGCCAGGTGATTTCCGTGCCACCCTGCGGGATAACGCAGTTTTTAGGAGGATCCGGGGTGAGAAAACGCTGGTGCCTGGCAACCCTCGTGTATGAGCTTCGTCATTTCACAACGGATTGAGAGGTGCCATGTTTGCCTTGGAGGCTAAGCAGCGGTGGAGGTTGGATAGCCGCCTACGTATTCTGCAGTTCAGCAGTCTTTGTGAACGTCTGGTGCACCCGTGCCAGTGAGGATTGGAGCTGCCTTCTTGTTGCTGCACTTTCGCTTTTCAATGTGGTCGCCTCAGGTGATCGCAAGGAGGCTTGACCAATCTCCCTGTGTGCTCTTGAGCTAGACTTCTTAGGTGTGTGATTTCCTTGGAGCCAGCGATGGCTGGCTTGGCAGTCATCGCACACCGTGTGAACCCAAAGGCCGAAGACCTTTGTTGCCGTGGTCTTGGCTAGCCTACGGATGGGGCATAGGAGGCTTTCCGGGCCATAGGAGTCATCGGAATCACATGAATAGCCAAGACAAGCTGGACGGGCCATGCAGAAGATGCAGAATGGGAGAGGTTTGCACGCTCTGGATGCAACCTGTCAGCAACATAATGTTGCTTCCGGCGATGCTTGCAGGTGCACAGCGACGGGCTGGGTGCAGCATTGAAGCTACCCTTCGAGGTGATGCGCCGAGTTGTTTCCTGCTTTGCGGGTCCGGCTCCGGTTGCGGTTGTGGAAGATGCTCCAGGTTCCCATAGTGCTAGTTCGGAAGGGGTAACTGGCAGAACTCGAAAGAGAACCTGTTCAGCATACATGACCGCATGCCATCGACACTGTTCATCGATCCGTTGAGGATGCATGTTTACAGACTTCTCTGCTTCAGACAGGCTGAATGCGATCCTGCCAGGTTGAACCTCGATGGCACATCTGGGTTCTCTTGGGGCTTCTGCTGATGCAGGCCTGTAGTGCTTGTCATGCTCACTGTCTAACTCAGTGTGTCTGCCTTTTCATTCTCGCACGTTCGTTCTGGAAGTGTGCAGTGCCTTGTCGACAGAAGCATGCAATGTTGGTTCAGGGGCTCGATTCTTCGTCTTTGCAAACTGTGATTAAGGCTGGTGACTTCCCGAATGCCTTGGTGGTGCATGCAGCAGGTCGGATTCTTGGAAACCCTCTTGTCAGATTCGACTAGGCTGCATGCAGAAACGCATGTGGGTAGTCGCGTCACAGGAGTCAATGACAAACGAGGTATAGCTCCAAGAGAAGCCGAGGGTCCACAGCACACCGCTCCTACACCCTGAAGTACCGACCACCTGAAAGGCGTCCCTTCTGTTCGAAGACTGAGGCCTCCTCCTTGGCGCGGTGGTTGTGCTGAGGGAGCCCGAGGTCCGGAGAAAGAGCGAGAGATGCAGAGGGCCTCGAAGTCTTGTGCCCCGGGATCTTCCATTTTGGAATGAAGAAAGACAGAGAGAGACAGCGAGAGAGAGAGACAGGGCATTTTGGGGGGATATCCCAGTGCAGACCACCTGGCCTCATCGTGTAGCCTTCGAACAGACTTGAGACAAACAGGGCGCATTCATGCGCGGGGAGGGGTGCTGCGCGCCTCTCTTCTGACTGTGTGGAAGAAGAGAGGTGCATTCTCGAGACTGTCCTGCACCCTGTATGAGCCTGTAGACCCGAAGCGGCAAACCCAAAAGCCAAAAGCAGCTTGTCGCACCCCACATCCTAAGCTAATTAAGACCATGGAACTTCTACTTTTCGTCTACTACCCATAGTCGACACCCGAATCATCCCGAAGCCAGGTCTGGGGAGATGCCTGGCACGCACTGGTGGGCCGATCGTTCACCTGCGGGGCAGTGGCTCACATTGTGCCTGGGAACCTGGCTGCTCTCTGCTTCTGGCTGTGTTCCGGGGTTTGAGCTGGTGGGATGGCCGTCGGGTTTCTGGCATGTGGGGTTTTGCAGCACTGCGAGTCAGGGTTAAGGATTTTGTGAGCCTTTCAGAGAGTTGGGGTTCTGTAGCCACAGCATGTTCGGAATGCATTCTGGCTTCAGCTGTTCAGCGTTAATGGTGAGGTTTTGCCTTGTTGTGCCGGGTCAAGAGATTTGTTCCAGCAGTCCAAGCCAAACCGAAGTGCTTCACTTGTCCTGGGTCCCCAACAGTCTCAATCCAGCACCAGCCCTAGACAACCCTTATGTTCCAAATCTTCCTCCAGACCTCAAGGCAGTTACCGAGTGTTCGTTGTTGTTGATACTGTAGGTGGTGGTGGGGATGCGAAGGGTCTGGAGGCTGAGGGTAGGGAAGAGAAACGAAGGGAACACAACACGCACATTTTGAGCCCCGAGCTGTCACCAGCGAAGGCTCTTCGTCTTCACAATCGTCTTCATGCCGCTGACTGCGCTCGCCCCCGAAGCTTTCTAGTTCGGACAGAGGTCTCCAAGGTTTCTGCGATGTGAGCAAGCTGAAACTGAAACATCGCGCGGCTTGCTATTTGCAAGGTCTTTTGGGCTGAGATATCCCTTGTGTTGCCAACCGATCTCCAAGAAAACCTTAGATCTTCCCGGAGGTGCCCGAGGCTCCGGCGGACATGCTCGCACTCTTTCAGGCCGAGTTTGCAGGTTCTACTTGTTTTGTTGAATCTTCAATACGTGACCTGTCCGTGATGGAGGCAGCACTGGCAGATGGCCGCCTGTTTAAACTGTCCTGGTGGAGGGACTCGTGGTCACCTAAGCTTCCTCGGTCACATGCAGAGTTCGCTGTTGCGATGGCGATGGGGCAGTGTTCAACCAGCATGTTTTCGGATGGTTTGCCAAGGATCCCATCGTCCCTGCCATTGCTACATATGGCGGGGCCTGGTGTGATAGACGCCGTTGAGAAACACCAGAGGTCTCACTGCACGACCTCTTAGAGTCAAATTTAGATAACCGAATCAGACAGGAAACCGGTTTTCCCACTGTCTACCGCTTCAGTGGGCTTGGTCGGAAGGCCATCTCTGGCCAGCTGGGCGGAGAGGCTGGTCTTGTGAGTGTGAAAACGCCTCGAGAGGCCGGCAACCCCATCTGAGAGTTGAACCGTTGTCCTGCAAGGCGTTGTATATTTGCCGATTCCTGCTGAGCATTGCGCTGCCCCTGCTTCTCTCTTCGATGCGCTTATGGGCCGTGGCCCAAGAGGGTATGTGCTTCGCCTCTGGATCGTTCGAATTATCGCGACTTCAGACCCGCCTCTACTCGGTGTTCTTTGTCATTCTGCTTATGCCCCTTGGCACGGAGGAGTTGACTGACCACGTCCTCATCCGTCGTCCCAGACCCTTCACCCTCTTGGTGATTTACGTGGTGAGGGGCATTGGCCTGGATTGGTAGCACGAAGAGTGAGTGAACAAGCAGACTCAAACGACTAGGAGCATGATTTGCGAGGGCAGCCTGTCGGAGATAAGGCGGCACCAATCACTCGATGCGACAGTTTGCGTTTTTGAACGTGCAATCAAACATAGAGTCCTAGAACGTTGGCGACTTCGGTTGCAAGCCACGTGGTGCGTTGCACAGGTATACAATGAACTCTCCAACCTGGAGGCAGGCTGTTTCACACTCCTGATTTTGCTCCACCGTGTGGGCAGTATGAGGTATCCACACTGTGGTTTCTTCTCGCTCTTCTACCTGGCCAGTGCCCGAGACTGCCTAGCGAAAGCTCGGCTTGAACCTTTTCGAGCAGGCCGTGATAGGCGACGGAACGGTATGGCAGGCATGTTGAAATCTCTTCTTGGATGGCTCCTGCCCTAGCTAGCTTGATGTGGACAGCGAGGAGACTTTCGAACAATTACACGAGACCAGCTCAGAGTCGCATTGCAGTAGACGTGCTGAGCGCTGATCAGAAAACCTTGGGCACCTATCTCAGGCTGGAGCCCAAAAGTGCCTACTGCCGATTCCATGGAGTCTTTCCCCTGACTGACTGAAGGTGGTTGCAATGTGGAAGTTGCCAAATGACCGGACCTCAGGAACAGCTAGTCTAACATTTCGGTCGTGGTGGTGATGGTGGTGGTGGTGGTGGCGGCGGTGGAGAAGTAAAGTAGAAGCCCAAAAGTTGACCCAATAGCTTCAATCCTAAAGAGTAATGTAT